TTGTTATACAAAAGTAAGATGCCATTTCTTTCGTTTTTCAATGAAAAACTGAAAAAAGTTGTTGCAGGGTCGGAAGTACAATGGATCATAACAGACCGCTTCTGAACATGTGTGTGATTTTCACTCTTCAATCATTCCGGAAGTTGATTCTTCAAGAAGGTGAAAAGATGGTCCTTGTGTGGTTAGATACACCATATAACCAAGCAGTTTATGGTCTCGTAGATAAACTAGGTATGTCAATCATAATCCTTTGCATTGTCTTAAAATTTAACTTTTTGTGAGATAGCATGCATTCTTAAGATGGATTCTATTGGTGGATATGGATAATTTTCAGGGAGCTTAGTGGTGAGGCTCGTTTTTCTTCCATTTGAAGAAAGTTCCTATGTTACATTTGCAAGGTCTGCATCAGGTTTATATCTCTCCTTTTACGTGTTTTTAACATTGCGTTCTAGTAAACGTTATATTTTATTATTTTATAACACAATTTACCAAAGTTGGTACCTAGCCCTCATCACTAGGGTCAAGGTGTAGGGTTCAAATCCTGCACCTCCCGTATTCTCCTATTTGTAACAGGATTTGAATTTGAAAGAATAAAATAAAATATTTTGAATTAGTATTTGCAAAGTATTGGAGATGCTGAAATATACGATGACATATAGGTAAGCAGTTAGTAAAAAATTGCCCGAAAAGCTTTTGAAACCATCATGATTATCGTAAAATATAAAGGAAACGATGAGCAATATTCGAAATCAATAAAATTAGGTTCAACTTGTAGCTGTAGATACATTGTCTGGAATGTGTTTGGCAAGGGTTCATTTGACCAATTATAGATATATATATATATTGCATTCGCTTCTGACGAGTGAATTTTGACGTGCATGCAGGAGATCACAAGGACAAAAAGAAGATCCTGGGAAGGCGTCTGACAGATGCGCTGAAGCTTGTTTTGCTAATAGGTATCTACTCTGTCACAGTTCCTGCTGAAAATAAAATCATTTTCTTGCTCTAATAGTATAGTATTGCCAGCTTAATTTCTTGTTAAAAGTTGTATACTATAATTTACGAAACTTATTGTGAAACTGCATCCGCTTGTAGCCTGTTTAGCTAGAAGATGTTTAATTCGATATGGTGACTCATAAATGGTATATCTGAAATGATAACGTGAAAGAAAATGAAGTCCGTCTGTTAGAAGTTTTAACACAATAAATAAATTTTTAACTGACATAAATAATCACGTGTGTGTAGAAAAGTTAAATGACATATTTACAGTTTTCCTGCTCCAAATATTAGTTCATTCGCACAGTATTTTTGATAATTTTAATATCTCAAGTGTGTATCGTAATTCGTAACCATTAAGATGTGATTTTGCTGACAATGTATCGTTTTATTCTCTTTCAAAACTTATGTTCGTTTCTTTGGTCAGGTTTAGTGGTTATCGCGTTTGGCCCAAGCTATTCTTATTCCCTCATCAGATTGCTGTATGGTAGGAAATGGAGTGATGGAGAAGCTTCGAAAGCACTCCAGTGTTATTGCCTTTACGTGATAGTTTTGGCCATGAATGGTAAAACATTTATGCATATCACTCTGTGCTGTTATATTTAAAATATAACTAACTCAAAATCTTGAATCATATTTAAGGTGTCCTTTTCGTATGGAATTACAGTGATTTTCTTTTCTTTAATTATCAGGTACATCCGAGGCATTTATGCATGCAGTTGCAACAGAGAATCAACTCAAACGGTCGAATGACTCGTTACTCGTCTTCTCGTTGATTTACGTAGTCTTGAATGTCTTACTTATACGATCAGCAGGCGCAATTGGATTAATATTAGCAAATTCTTTGAGTATCCTTTTTTCGACTTCTCTTTCTTCGCGATTAATTATTCCCATGGTTCTTTTTCTGTTTCGTATTTCTGGTTTATATCCCGTGGCGTTTCATTGGTTCCTTGACTATGACAAAGACATGTTCTTCAGGATAGTCTATTCAGCAATTTTCATCAGAAAATATTTCAAGGTAAGCCTATATATCTTTTATGCAACTTCATATTTTTTTGTGATTGTGAATATTTTATTTATTTATATTTTGATGTAATTTTGCGTCGTTTTCGCAGGATTCTTCGTCCTTTTCCTTTAGAGACTGCTTGCCGAAAGGAAGTGAATTTCTACTTATTTCAGGTGCAGCCATCTTTATTCTCGAGAGAACATATCTCGACCGAGAGAATTTCTGGTCAACTTTTACGATTCACCTCTCTTTTGGTTTGGCGTGTTTCAGTGTGGCGGCTGTTGTAATGTGAGTATTTCTTATCTTAATGCAATGTGTTTTTTTTTTTGGTGGTTTAATTCTAATTATTACATTTTTATCAACAGCTATAAGAAAGAGAAGCCTTTCATCAGCAAAATCATACGTTTTCGTGAACATGCTGATTGAAAGCTCTGCTAACAGATACAAGGTGAGTTAAGACGGGCAACAATCATAAAAATCGTATTAATTTTGGTGTAACCTATATTTATGAAATTTTCATTTTTGCTCGAGTAGATTGTTACCGATGAACTTGTGTAAGAAAAGGTCTGATTTAGTTAACATTTTCTCCAAATCGGCACTTTGGAAGGATCCTTTTGGTATGAAGAATGCACAAACCATCGATTTTGGATGGACCGAAGTATTGAAAATGAAATGAGCCCCTACGTTTAAATTCATTCGGGTGAATACGAAGGCCAATATAATTTAATTATTTATTTGCATTTTGTATTATTTGATCGAGCAATATATACGTATTTTTAATAAGTAACCAAAACCGATACCGATGAAAAAAGAAGACAAAAAGACGCTACTTCTATAATCTACAAATCACAAGGTAAGAATTTCAGCTTTATCCCCAATCACTTCGGAATCTAAACTAAAAAAGAAAATAGGGTAAATTATGGGTATCCAAGCTAAATAACTTACAAACTCCTATAATATTGGTAAATTACAAATATCCCCTAAAATTAACAGTCCGTTGGAAACCTTAATGAAATGAAGGAATTGTCTAAATTAACCTTTTATAAACAAAAAAAAAATAATAAATCTATCGGTAAAAAAATGACAAATCTATGATGACAATATTACATTTACCCCTGGGGTAAATTTGGAAATTCGTAACGAATATTCAAATGGGATCTTCAAGATTTCGTTACTCATAAGGGTACGATGAAGAAACGGCCCAGGGGTATTTGTAATGACCAATATCACTAAGGTTTCTAAGTTATTTAGTCTTTACTTCAGGGTAACGGTAATTTAACCCCAAAACCCAAACTAAAACTATCAACAGTGCAGGAAACAAAAAAAAAAAGACAAAGGTGCAAAGAGCAGCTCGAGCCAAGTCAAAGATCAATATTTATTATTTGTAAAAACCCTACGCAATCAGTACTTTAATCTCCCCCATTTAAATTAAATATCTCTGTACACCGTAAATTTTCCCATCTGTAAAATATATAAATGCAAGACAAGAAAAATATAGGAAACAAATAAATTTATTATCAAACGTAAGCGGATTACAATCTCCGTGAATTCCCCTGATTCTTTTCTCCTATTCTAATTTGATTCAAGGTCTTAAAAGCTTGTTCTTGAATCGAACATATGATTTTCTATCACAAACACCTCGAATTCAAATATGTTATGAATTCGAGGCGGAGGCTCGAGACGTGAGCTTGAGAGCTCGATATGTGTCTGTGTGAGTCTGATTTTTAGATGCACCAAAGATCTTCTTTTATAGGCACAAACTAGGGTTAGGGTTTCTCGACTTGCAGAGTGGGCCGGACATTCTAAAGCCCAAATATGTTATGGACTTTAATTTGAGACCTAAATTAATAACCAATTTATTTTGGTTATGAATTAGTAATTTATCTCAAAATTTCGATGTCTACAAATGCCCCCACTTCTAGTCTCGAAGAGAAACATGTTGAATATTTGTGAGACGAGACTTGAAGTACTCGAATTTTCCTTCACTTATTGGCTCCAAAACTCCCTTTCCTCCATTTTTGGGGTGTATATGGAATTGCCATCACTTTTGAGGACTTAAATGCGAAGTCCATTTTCTGATATTTGGGGGAGAACAAGAATAACTTCAGCATCACCCACGCGCACCGGCCACACAGAATGACAAGCAGCATAGAGGAGGTGGAAACACCGGCGGCTGCTTCTGGCGGCGAAACGGACGTTGGAGGGAATATTTGTTTTGGCCTCCGTTGATGACCGCTGCCACCGATTTCTCTTTAATTTTCTTGTAGTGCCCAATTTTTTGCATTGCAATGATTTGGTACATACTTTTAACTCTAACCATAATTGCAAAACATATTCTTTTGGGCATGAGAAGGAAATCCGCAGTATTTTCCATCTCCTGCAAACAATAATTTACTATTAATTGCACTATACAAGAAATTTACAAACTTCTTTTCACCGTAATGGTTGCTCCTCTACGGAAAGAAAATCACGTGATATTTCAGAGATAATCATGATTTTTTTTTTATTTTTTATTTTTGCTTTTCCCCAAGTTGCACAAGTGAGCGATTTGAATGCTGACTCTCTCGGACTTTTGAATTCGAGATATTTGACGGCTTTGTCAATTTGCTTGCCCCCACCGTATGATTTGATTACCGGTCGCAATAACAACACCAAGGCCTCTTCTTCAGGAGAATCGCAAGATGAACATTTAATTTGATATTGGAGAGAAAGAGATGAGGGCGAAGATTGTCCCACCGGGCGTGCCAATTTGTAAACCGTAAATTTTCCCATTTGTAAAATATATAAAAATACAAGACAAGAAATTAGGGAACAAATAATTTATTAATCAAAACGATGTGGATGTGGATTACAATCTCCGTAATTCCCCTGATTCTTCTCTCCTATTCTAATTTTGATTCAAGGGCTTAAAAGCTTGTTCTTGAATCGAACATATGATTTCCTATCACGAACACCTCGAATTCAAATATGTTATGAATTCGAGAATATGTTATGAATTCGAGGCGGAGGCTCGAGACGTGAGCTAGAAAGCTCGATATGTGTCTGTGTGAGTCTGCTTTTTACATACACCGAAGCAGTCTTTTTATAGCCACGATCTAGGGTTTCTTGACTTGTAGGATGGGCCGGTCATTTGTAAAGCCCAAATTTATTATGGACTTTGAGTGAGACCCAATTTAATAATCGATTTATTGGATTATTAATTGGTGATTTATCTCAAAATTTCGATGTCTACAAATGCCCCCACTTCAAGTTTCGGCGAAGAACATGCCAAATATTTGTGAGGCGAGACTTGAAGTACTTGAATTTTTCCTTCATTTGTTGCTTCAAAACTTATTTTCTGGGGTTGAATTTGTAATCTCTCAACTTTTGGGGACTCAAGTGCAATTTCCTGATTTTTGTTTGAAGTCCCAAATTACAATTTAGAACTTCTGAATTTGAGGAACTCTTCTCGACCCTGTTACGCATTTCATCCATCCACAGTTCATATTTTCATAGGACCATAGCCGACCACATATTTTAACATCCAAACTCTGCCATGATGCCGCCGTTTACTTTGCAGCTCCGACGACCGTTCCTATTGCCGACTATATATCTTCAGAACTTCTTTTTTGTGACGCCACAGACGACGGCAAAGAGGAGCATAAATGGGGCGAGGCTCTGTTTGTAGGCAGGACCTTTGTGTTTTCGGGATGACGACAAAGATGAGAGCAGATTTGAGGCGTAAAGCTTGGTATGCGGGGGATTGCCATGGAAGGTGGTGATGTGGAGTTTTGAAACTGGACAAGACTTGTCTATTGGGAATCAATGTCGGGTTGCCGAGAAGCTCGTGCAGCGGCGTGCTGGAAGTGGCGGATTCGTTGCAGCAGCATATTCGAACAAATGTGCCTCTCCTCATAGCGGCGGTAAAGTGATGACACCGGCGAGTGCTTCTGGCTTCATGCGGCAATTGGTAGTTCGCTGGTGCAAATCTAGCTTTCAGAAGTTGTCTTTGAGTTTCCGGTAGAAGAGGCGGTGCGAGATTGAAGTTGGAGTTCTGCTGATTCTAGAAAACTTTCCTCAATAAAAAAGATTTGGCAAATCTTTAAATTTGCATAAATCTTTTGCTGCCGATACAAAATAACAACCACCATATCTTCCACTTTATTGATATCTTTGCCCCCAAGTTAGAGTCTTTGACTTTGCCTTACCAACCACATCTACGAGGAACAACATATCATAGACGTCGGGTTGAATGAACATGAAATTTGACATCGGAGGAAGATATGAGGGGTGGAAATAGTCCCACTGGGCGTGCCAATTTGTAAACCGTAAATTTTCCCATAATCTCCGTGAATTCCCCTGGTTCTTTTCTCCTATTCTAATTTTGATTCAAGGGCTTAAAAGCTTGTTCTTGAATTGAACATATGATTTCCTATCACGGACACCTCGAATTCAAATATGTTATGAATTCGAGAATATGTTATGAATTCGAGGCGGAGGCTCGAGACGTGAGCTTGAGAGCTCGATATGTGTCTGTGTGAGTCTGCTTTTTACATACACCGAAGCAGTCTTTTTATAGCCACGATCTAGGGTTTCTTGACTTGTAGGATGGGCCGATCATTTGTAAAGCCCAAATTTATTATGGACTTTGAGTGAGACCCAATTTAATAATCGATTTATTGGATTATTAATTGGTGATTTATCTCAAAATTTCGATGTCTACAAATGCCCCCACTTCAAGTTTCGGCGAAGAACATGCCAAATATTTGTGAGGCGAGACTTGAAGTACTTGAATTTTTCCTTCATTTGTTGCTTCAAAACTTATTTTCTGGGGTTGAATTTGTAATCTCTCAACTTTTGGGGACTCAAGTGCAATTTCCTGATTTTTGTTTGAAGTCCCAAATTACAATTTAGAACTTCTGAATTTGAGGAACTCTTCTCGACCCTGTTACGCATTTCATCCATCCACAGTTCATATTTTCATAGGACCATAGCCGACCACATATTTTAACATCCAAACTCTGCCATGATGCCGCCGTTTACTTTGCAGCTCCGACGACCGTTCCTATTGCCGACTATATATCTTCAGAACTTCTTTTTTGTGACGCCACAGACGACGGCAAAGAGGAGCATAAATGGGGCGAGGCTCTGTTTGTAGGCAGGACCTTTGTGTTTTCGGGATGACGACAAAGATGAGAGCAGATTTGAGGCGTAAAGCTTGGTATGCGGGGGATTGCCATGGAAGGTGGTGATGTGGAGTTTTGAAACTGGACAAGACTTGTCTATTGGGAATCAATGTCGGGTTGCCGAGAAGCTCGTGCAGCGGCGTGCTGGAAGTGGCGGATTCGTTGCAGCAGCATATTCGAACAAATGTGCCTCTCCTCATAGCGGCGGTAAAGTGATGACACCGGCGAGTGCTTCTGGCTTCATGCGGCAATTGGTAGTTCGCTGGTGCAAATCTAGCTTTCAGAAGTTGTCTTTGAGTTTCCGGTAGAAGAGGCGGTGCGAGATTGAAGTTGGAGTTCTGCTGATTCTAGAAAACTTTCCTCAATAAAAAAGATTTGGCAAATCTTTAAATTTGCATAAATCTTTTGCTGCCGATACAAAATAACAACCACCATATCTTCCACTTTATTGATATCTTTGCCCCCAAGTTAGAGTCTTTGACTTTGCCTTACCAACCACATCTACGAGGAACAACATATCATAGACGTCGGGTTGAATGAACATGAAATTTGACATCGGAGGAAGATATGAGGGGTGGAAATAGTCCCACTGGGCGTGCCAATTTGTAAACCGTAAATTTTCCCATAATCTCCGTGAATTCCCCTGGTTCTTTTCTCCTATTCTAATTTTGATTCAAGGGCTTAAAAGCTTGTTCTTGAATCGAACATATGATTTCCTATCACGGACACCTCGAATTCAAATATGTTATGAATTCGAGAATATGTTATGAATTCGAGGCGGAGGCTCGAGACGTGAGCTTGAGAGCTCGATATGTGTCTGTGTGAGTCTGCTTTTTACATACACCGAAGCAGTCTTTTTATAGCCACGATCTAGGGTTTCTTGACTTGTAGGATGGGCCGATCATTTGTAAAGCCCAAATTTATTATGGACTTTGAGTGAGACCCAATTTAATAATCGATTTATTGGATTATTAATTGGTGATTTATCTCAAAATTTCGATGTCTACACTTATTAAATGAATATGCATTTTAAGTAGTTTTAAATCATAATTAGATAAAGAGACCCGACAAATGATAACTTAATTAGAGAGCGTGATTATAGAGTGTTGTGGATTCAGGTCCACAGACAATAACATGCCATACAAAATGAAAATCAAACCAAGAAAGAACAAACAGATACCACTGTGTTGACTCAACCGACTGTTGACACCGTTGCAGATAACACAACTACAGTTACCATAGATCTAAAACAGAAAGCTATAAAACAGATAAAGAACACAATATTTAAAGTGGTTCGACCTGTATTACCACAGGCCTACATCCACTGTGCAGAGAGAACAAAATCCACTAGATCAAGAAGGTTACAAATTATAAGATAGTGATAACACTCAAGCTCTCAACAGTTATTTCACCTAAGCTATATTAACACTCCCATGTGTATACCTCATTGTTTCTCTCTTGTTTCCCAGCCCCAAATCTCACAAACCCTGTGAAGATTTCCTTCTTGCTTTCCCTCTAGCTTCTTCTTTTGTTCTTGAGAGTTGCCTCTCTTTCCAGCCTCTCAAGCCTTATCCCCTTGATTAGCCTTAGCCTCCAAGCCTCTCCTTCAAGTGCTTTATATATGCAGTTAACCTAACAAAAAGCAACTTGGTCCCCAAGCAAATCACTGTGAGCTCAACAGGTGTCCACCACTGTCACAGTGGTCCTCACATGTTCTGTCTTCTAGTGTAACAGCTCCTTACACTTTCTAGCTCATCCTTTGACTTTTCTTTAATTGATGCACCAGATAAAGTATGCACTTAGGATGTACACATGGATATGAGTCACAGAATAACAATTCTCCACCTTGACTCATACTCCACGTAGGCTTCTCTTCTCTCTCTCCTCTCTCTGCACCCTAGCTTCTCACCAAGCTAGCACCACCTAGCTTCTTACCAAGCTAGAACCACCTAGCTTCTCACCAAGCTAGCACCTCTTAGCTTCTTACCAAGCTAGCACTGCCCCACCTAGCTTATAACCAAGCTAGCATTGCCTACAACAGCTCACCAAGTCCATACAGTGATTGAACTTTGAAACCGGTAAAGACTTTGTTAGCATATCAGCAGCATTCTCAGCTGTATGCACCTTCTCCACAATTCTTAGATTAATACCACAAATAATTTTTTTAATAGCAAAGTACTAAAATATCCCGTTAAAGAATGTACTCACGTCTTTTTTTTAGCTTAAAAGTCGATTTTTTAGTTTTTTTTTTTTTTTTTTGAAATTCGCCTAGAGTTTCTGACACGTACAGGTCAAATTTTTGATCAATTTTCGACACCAACTTATCGAAAATTATATTTAAAAAAAAAACCAAATTTCGACATGTATGTGTCGAAAAAACACTACTTAATTTATTTTTTTAAGCAGTGTTTTTTCGACACATACATGTCGAAATTTTGAGAAATTTCGACATATATGTGTCGAATTTGGGTTTTTTTTTTTTAATACAATTTTCGACAAGTTGGTGTTGCAAATTGACCAAGAATTCGACCTGTATGTGTCGAAAATGTATGGCAGGTTTAAAAAAAAATCTTCAAAATCAACTTTGAAGCTCAAAAAGGACATGGATACATACCTTTATGGGTTCTCCTTGCTCGTAAACACCATTTTATTGTCATTTGACTCCATTTTGCAAGTTGTGTAAGGTTTTAATTTCTTTAGTTTGAGATTTTTTAGGAGGGTTTGTTGGTAGCGAGAAGGAGGAGGTGAGAGGTTTGTGAAGAAGGAGAGGAGTTTGAAGTGTTTTTGTGTGTTGGTATTGAAGAAAGAAAATTGAGATTTGTGATGGTTTTTTGGTTTTGATTTCCATTAAGGGTATTAATGTCAATAACTATTTATTATCTAATTTTTATTTTGGGGGTATTAAAGTAAGAAAAATGTAGTATTAGTTCTAGCCACCCCTTTATATATTAGTCCATTTGTTCCATAATAACTGTCTCTTTTTAAAATTATTTTGTTCTATATTATCAGTCACTTTACATTTCCAATACTGCATTAATTACTTAATTTCCAGTTTATACTCTTATTAACCCTTTCTATTACTCTTTTTAAATTCATTTCTCTCTTTCATTAATTATAATATAAGGTCAATTTAGTCTAAAAGCATACATTATTCATAAAATCAAGACACATCTAATGAAATTATTAATCCGTATGCAAAGCTAAAAACGACTATTATAAGGGAACGGAGGGAGTAGTATTTTTCTTGCTGGTTTTGCATTTGAATCTTACACCATCCCAACTGTAATTTCTCTCCCTCTCTGTAATTTCTTTTCTTGTTGCGTAAAAGATGATGTGTTTTAGTTTGTTCATTGGTGGTTGTTATTTTGGATTGTGGTGGTGGTGCAGTGGTGGAGCGGAGGTGGTGCGGCCGTGGTGGAGCGGAGGTGGTGGTGACAAAAATCTCTCATCCCCTGTTTGGCAGCAAGCGGGAGAGTAAGAAGATGATGGTGCCATTCTTTTTCTTTCTTCTTTTACCTTTATTACTTTATGTGAAAATCTTGTGAATCGACGAAATTACTCCTTCATTTTCATGGTTGAGTTGCACGTGTGGAATTCAGGCATAAATTTTGCTATAAATAGACATTTCAGTTGTCGGCGCAACAATTCAGTAAGTTCAGGTATACATGTTCAGCTCTTTTTCCGTTTAGGGGGTAAAGTACAAAAACGTCCAAAGTTTAGGGGATTTTTTGTTTTTAGCCCTTTAATTTGTTCATTAAGTTTTAATAAAATAACTGATGGTGAGAGTGTAAGTGTTACAAATAATATTTTAACGCATTAAATGTCACATAAGGTATAATTCAAGGTGCAAAGTCTATTTAACCCCACTTCTTACTCTCCAAAGTCTTTTTAAAAAGAGAGACTTCACCAAAAATTTACAGCCTTTTCGTTTCTTTCTTCCTCATCTCGCTGTTCATTGCTTCCCTCCATTGACAACTTCTCAATCCAACTGCAAATTGCATTTTAATTTGTATAATTTTAAATTTTCAACTCTTTTATTTGATTAGAAAACTAATTCCGTCCTTTTCCTTTTTCATATTGCCATGTCTTTGATTCCACCTTCCCCGATTTTTTCTCTATTTCTCCCTCAATTTTTCATTTCCAATATCCGAATTCCCAAGAAAAAGAAAAAAAAGGGTTTCATGAATTTGAATTGAATTTCAGTTGGTATCAAATGCGATACTACTGTTAAATTCTTTTTTTCATAAAAGGGTTTGCAATTATGAGCACGCAAAAGCTTCTCGAAATCGATCCTCAGCCGCTAGCTTTTCGCCGTAAGTTTCTCGAAAAAGGGTTTTTTTTTCTTGTTTAATTATATTTTTATTGATTTATTTCGCAATTTATTGTTTTATGATTTTGTTTATATTTTGGTTTTATAGTTGAGGTGGGGAGACAAGCCTCTTGCAGAATTAACCTATCTAATAACTCCCAAGAGGATGTTGCTTTTAAGGTAAATAAATATGTTTTGAGTTTTATGTAATATTTATGTCAACCGCTCAATTATGTGTAATTTATTTATATGTTAATAATCAGGTGATGCTGTGTTTTTATTTCAGGTTATGACGACAAGTCCTCATAAATACGGCGCTCAACCCAATGTCGGAGTTCTTAAGCCCAAATCATGTTTCGAAATTACAGGTTCTCAATAAACAATCTAGCTGTGTGCGCGCGCGCGCGTGTGTGTGTGTGTGTGTGTGTGTGTTTTGTGATTGTAACATATTCATAAAGATTCAACGTACGGTTCTCAAACCCCACAATATTGGTTTCGGAAAACCGGGGGAATAAGGCCAAACGGGCCCTCAAATTTTGAAATTGTGATTTGTAGCTGGAATAAGTTTTCTTGTTCGTCGGTTCATTTTATTAGTATTTGCTACGTACATTTTCTTTCGGTGATAAAAGATTCTCTTTTGCAGTAATTATGAACGGCGCAACGGAGATCCCTTCTGACATGGAGTGTAATGATGTGTTTCTGATAAGAAGTGTTGTTGCAACTCCTCTTCACACACCAGAAACCGCACACGAGCTGGTAATTTTATCCATTCGGGCCTCGTTTTTTGGAATATTGATGAAATTGATAAAGATTATTTTAATCAGATAGGATAGGATTACATTGTCCATGATAATGCAATATGTGAGTATCATTCGTTTGTGGTTGTGTAATAATAGGGGTTGAGGCTGGACTCTATCATTCATATTCTTGATTAAATTCTCGGGTTCGTTTTTAATCACGGGCTTCAAACCCAAAACCCCAAACATTTGATACATCTTGGTTATATAGTCTAGTAAGTCCTATTCTTATTCCCAAACGAGGCCTTGGAATATTTTGCACTCAATTTATCGTTTGTTTGGACAATCATAAATAAATCAAATATATTAAGAAAAACTATTTTCTTGATTGTAGTTTGATGAAGGAACAAGTGCGTTTGAAGATTGCAGATTGACAGCGGTGTATGTTACCCCAACCCGTTCCGAGAGATCCGCAGCACGTTCACCGCAACAGGTATAGTTTAAATAAAAACTGAGGTTGTTTACGCAATTATCTGAAACAATTTCTTCCTCTTCATTTCATTTTTGACAAAATTAAGAAAATCCAATCATTGCTTATATCATCAATTTCTAGCAAAAGTTCATCAAATAGAAATAAGTGTTGCCCGGAACTTAATGTTACTAGACATAACTTACTCGTACTTTATATATAATTTGGTATTTCCTTACAGGTTTGTAAACATTAAGGTTTTACGTCTCCCTTTATTTTTTATTTTTTTCTTAATCTTGAAATTTTGCCATTTATTCCTTGGGTAAAATTACGGCCACCCCTGAGGTAAGGTCAAATTACGAAAACACCATTCGTGTTTGGATAATTACAATCACCCCCTAAATTATGGATCTTCCTACATGTTCATCCTTATGGTGTTAAATTCAAGAGAATCTTTTATGTTCCGTGAAATGTTCTCTGGTTTGTACTCGTTTGTGCAAAAATGCAGTTTATGATGCACCACAATGTGATACTCATAAGTCAAAAGACACATTTTATGATCATCTTGTTTCGAAATGTGTAGCTTGAATAGGGTAAAACGGGTACAAACTGGGGAATATTTACATTAATCTAGAAGATTCCACTAAATTTGACACCACAAGGGTGAACATGTAAGAAAATTTATAGTTGAGGGGTGGTTGTAATTACCCAAACATGAGGGTTTTTTTTTTTTTTTTTGTAATTTGACCTTACCTCAGGGTGTGGCCGTAATTGACCGTTTATTCTTTGGCTTATAGGTAATCTAGAATATTACACTTTTTTTCTGAAACTGTAGTTGGATTCTTTAATATTCTTACACATCCATAATTATACGTTTAAACTTATGACACGTAATGTAATATAGTGGCACGGCATAAATGGAATCGATGTTGTTGATTGGTTGAAGAAGGGCATTGCTGTTGTCTTGCTGTGTTTGATCGTTGGGTTACTCGTAATCAAGATTCTGCCACTCATATGGTATTTACCTTTTTTTTTAATATTTAAAAAGTATTAATTTCTTCGTAATTTCATTTCCTTAAAACAATATTTGTCTTGCAGGAGTTTGACTTTTATGATGACGGTGTTGGTAGTGAAATTGGGGAAGAAGTTGCTTTCAGAGCGTGCTGAAGATTGGATGATGACGATTCTTCTTTCCATTGTTGGTCATATCTGTCCGAATGTTTTCAGGCGAGGAGGGAGCTAACCGTAACGTTCGATTTATATTCTTGCGAAAAGGGGTTTTTTTATTTTATGAATGTAAATTATTTTGATGGCGTTGCTGTAGTTTATACGTACTATTACTCGAGGTAAATGGCAAACTGCAGGTTTTGCATTTGGTTGGAGATCGAAAGTGTGGCACCTCGTTCGTTGGTGATAAATAATGCTGTGGTGAATTGTGAACATTTCAAGTTGTGTTTTATGTTTTATGTATTTTGAACGCAATATTACTCGAGTGTAAAAGGCGAACCGCTGTTTTTTTTTTTCACCGGTTATATTTCAAAAATTGTAACACCTCATTTATGTATTTCGTATGCAGTTTAATCATCAACACGAACATGTCGTATGCGAGTTGAGATAATTTAAACGAGAGATGTAATAAAAGCTGATCCGAAGAAATCGCGACTGATCAACAAAAGCTGATCCGAAGAAATGTCCTAATCAAGAATTCGAATAAACATTTGACAACCGATCGACTTTCGGTCTTGTTCTGTTTAAGAACTTCTTTTCTAGATGATTTCATATCTCCCCTAACAATTACTTCCTTTTTGCTGATATCAACCATTAATCCTTTTGAACCTGCACAAATTAGCTAACCCTGTAAACCGAATATTCCACTAACGAATAACGAGAATTTAAAACGAAAAAAAAGATCGACGAAAATTATTCTATGTAAATACATAAATATTGTAATTACTGACCTGCCATCTTTGAAATAACTTGTGTTACTCTCTCTCTACAGTGAGGGCTCCCCAGGTTTGCTTTCAAAACTATTACCTGAAACTGTCACAGTTGAATAACTCATGTAAGAACTCCATATATAGGTTAAATTACGAAAAATTCCCTGAACTTAGGCTAAATAACGAAAGCCACCACCACCTATTCGTAGTTACCAAAAACCCCCTGAGGTTTGTTTCCGTCTTACACCAGCCCCTTACAGTGTGGCTTTTCACGGATTTTTTTTTATTCCAGGGAATAGACTTTACACAATTCGGATATTTTCTTTTATTTCTCACCTATTTAACATAAGGTATAATAGACTGTACACATTTTTTGTTAAAAACTCGATCAACATTTAATCAGAGGGGGATTTTGGTTATTACGGATAGGTGGGGGTGTTTTTCGTTATTTAGCTTAAGTTCAGGGGTTTTTTGCAATTTACCACATATATACATACATATGAACATACAAACATACAAACATACATTGATACATACATACATACATACATGAAGATGTAAATATATACCGTTGGAAGCGAAAGATTTGCAGCAAAAATAAGAGCTTGCTTCCCCAAATTATCCATCCTCGTTATCATATATAAAACACAATGGTGATTTTCTAATCTTCGCATAAAAAGAAGCGGCATTAAGCGTATTTATACTTGACCTTGATTTCTGATTATCGTTCTTAAGAATGAAAACGTGCATTACAAAACTAAGCAGGCCTGCTAATTAAGTATTAAATAATATAATGAGTAGTAGTTAAAGGGGATTAATTAAACATTTGGCAGGATTTGCATGTTACGTCCACTACTAACGAACTTCTGTGATAAATAATTACGAGATTTAGTGTTTTTTTTTACGATAATTAGCTGGTAGTTTATCTACTACTAACACTTTTAGTTGAAGATAAGATTGGAATCAAAGCAGTTGGTAAAAGAACAAACAAGTGGTTTCAATCTGCAGGTATGGAAAATATGATATTTTTATTTGCTTAAAGGGTGTAAAGTGAATTGCGAAAGTGATATACATCCCGCGTTTTGAATGTAAATATTAATTACGGAAGAGTTTATTACATCCGCGCTCAAAAACAAACTTTTTCATGAGTCTGTGTGCATAAATAATACGTCTTTGCGGGGGAGAAAATCGGAGGAATTAGATAGCAATAAGAATTTTCGGGGAAAAAAAGTCCAGTTCTTTTCGAAAATGAAGAACAAGTTCAATTAAATTCCAAAAACTTGAAAAAATAAGTGGAATTTTGACAGTTCCATAATAACTAGATCCAGAGAAGAAATTCAGATCAAAATCGACGGGATTCAAAAATTTCATTTCTTTATTCAGCTATAATATACAAATGTAGTAGTAATGTTGGTATTTTCGAAAACAAAAATCAGATAAAAATTCGGATCCTCATATATAATTCCGATTCCTATCTCAGTTTGTTGTTTATGATAAAAAAAAAAAATCTAAAACCGGAACACGAAATTTTTAACATTTCATATACACACACACCAACATTGGTGTGTGTAGATCAACTGAAAAAATTCACCCAGTGTGTAATCTTCACCAGGTGTAGCATAGAAATAACCCACAGTCACAGTCACTTAATTGTGGAAAGAAAATTAATATCAACCTAAGGACCGAAATCTATGCAGACAGCATGAAATTTACCGACAAATTGCAACGTCTATTTTCCTTAAACAGACCGGACAATAAGCAGAGCCTAAATGGAAAATTGCAAGCACATAAAGCAGAGCCATGAAATACAAATACAATCTTTGATAGAGCAACCAAATTAAACCACTTCATCTTCAAGGTACAAACTGAGTTACTATAAGAACAAGCAGCGATATAATAACACAAACTAAGGCACGGATGACCGAAACAGAAATTCGGTAAAATTAATGTTTCCTTCTTCTTCGTGTATTTGCTAAAGATAAACATTTCACTTATAAGAGTTTCGGATTCAACCGTTCCGTCTTTCTACCTTCAAAACCTGCATATTACACAGACCGACCACAAAATAATAACCATCACGTTATACCCTAAAAAACATATACTTTTGTGCGATTCATAACTACAACTCTTCTGGAACTTGATTTCGATGCAAGAGCGAAAGCATCTAGAGACGAAGGGCGGTCGACAACGGTCTCAAGTACGTTTCGAACAACAGTCTCAAGTACGTTTCGAATAGGCAAAATCTATATTAAGATGAAACATAGCGGGATTCATTCAAATCCGATACCGGCGAATTACATCTCATCTCCTCCTGGAAGAAAAGCCTCCGTCTTTCTTGTACTTGGCCGCAAACAAAGCCCTTTCTCTCTCTTTCTCCTTCTTCTCTCTCTTCAATCTCTCTTCCCTCAACTCCTCCAGAGTCTTCTTCCCACCACTCTCTCTCTTCTTGCGTTTCCGATCATCATATTCCTCATCGTCTTCATCGCCATTTTTCTCGGCAGCCATCTTTTTCTCCAAGTACCACGGCAATTTCACTCCTTTACCAGCAACACCATACCCTAATTTATACATCTCATCCTCCGGCCCCACAACCCTAACCTCCTCCCTCTTAATCTTCTTATTCTTATTATTATCGCCCCCAAATTTGCTGCTTTTCTTTTCGTCCTTCTTCCAATCTCCAACTTTAATCGGGTCGAAAATCCGGATCCCTTCGAACAAATTTATGTGCTTCGATTCGGACTCCGGTTTCGCCGGTTCGGCTGCAGGTTCGATCGGAATAGCGGTAGCGGCGGTGGCGGTGGCGGTGGAGGATGGTTCTTCGTCGGCTCTATCTGGGCCGCGGCTCGCTAACCCACGCGCCTGCCGGAGCTGCTCGATGCGAAACTCGGTGTCGCGCTTCCGCGATTGCTCGCGCTTGATCTGCTCCTCTTTGGCGGCGGCTTCTTCGTCGTTTTTAACTTTCTCACGATTGTCGAAGTTGTAAACGTTCCACCGCTTCTGCGGGAGGATGTTCAAACCACCGTGACCACCCATGGTTAGGGTATTCAACTTTGATTCGCAGAGAGAGAAAAAGGAGCCCTAATTTGGATTCAATTTGGGGGAAGGAGGAATGAAAGAATTGTTATGGAATAAAATATTAAAATTATTTTTGTTTTAAAGTTGATGATAAATGAATTAATATGTGTTACACTTTTAGTCCTTAATGTTTTATCCGATTCCGCTTTTGGTCCATGTTGTTCCAAAGCAAACAAAATATAGATCTATAGGTTAATTTTAAACACATTTAGTCATTCCGTCACATGTCCGTTTACAAGAACAGAAAACACTATTTTGGGGTAAAAATTGAAATTTAAAATTATTTTGGGACTAGAAAAAATATAAGTTTAACCGTTATTTTATCTTTCTTTTTTACATTTTCTTTTGAGAAACCTATAGTTTATTAGAGCATTTTAATTTCTATCTAATTTTTTTTTTTTATATTTTTCAACACATTTTATTTGAGCGGGGTGAAGGATTGCACCGGGGATTAATGGAGTGGAGGAGAAGAAGACGGGGTAATTTCATCTTTTAAAAATCGAGCACTTTGAGCAAAATGTCAAATCTCTAAAGTCCTCATTTGAAGAATATCAGTGTGTCAGGTGATTAGCAAATTACCCATAATAAATTGGCGAAAATATTTCTTTTTTATTTGGGCCAATTTGCTAAACACCCATGAGCTCTAATTTCCTTTCAAATCACGACAGTCACTATTTTGCAATTTGCTAAAACTCCTTTGTTCTTCAAAGTTGCCTTCGTTGTTCCAACCATAACTATTCACCGTCAGATCCCATCCAACCCCTTCTGTTAAATCTTGAAAAAACTTTGCCTCACAGCCACACACAACCACGCAGTCGCGCGCACATAACCACACACCTACTGACCTACATACGCACATACGCAACCACACACGCACACACATATGATTTTGGTTACACTTATTAATCTCCGCTGTTACCTAATAATAATGGAAATCAAACCGAAAATATATGAATTATTGTTTGGTAATGCTGATGGTGATGTTTGTGGTGGTGTACGCACCGGAGATTTAATTTTTTTTTTTGTTTCAGCGTATTTAACTAAGTTGTGTAACTTAGCCGTCTAAAGCTGTGCAACTAAAATATCTATGTAAGCTGTGTCTACGTTGTGGAAAACATCTATGTTTGTTTTAATTTTTTCTTCACTATTTATTAACTAAGTTGCTGCTTATTAATATAATTAAGTTGTGCAAATCACCGTGTCACCGTTACTGTTAGTTTTCCTTCGCGATTTCGTTAGAGGGAAAACGCACAAGGACGTTTACCAAAATGACAAAATATGCATATCTTTATAGGTATATAGAATATTTTTTAGGGACCTCCAGTTCCCATTTTTTTCCCTACCCATAAGATATGCAAAGATAGATTCCTAGTTAAAAGAAATTATTCCCAACTAGAGATATATATTATAAATGCCAATAAGTACCACTGGAGTCCGAAATAAAGTAAACAAAAAACCTCCTTAGCCAACCGTTCCACACAAACTTCAAAATAAAAAGCATTGCCCTATTTTATAAACTTTTTTTTAGGAAAATTAATGTTTCTCCAAATACTTGAAAAATCAAAATTAAATCAAATTAAATTAACCTCCCGACCAAGAAACTCTCTCTTGCAGAAGGGGACATCTTCCCGCAACAATAAATCTTTCTATAAATCCCAAAATAATCACTTTAAATTTCTTCAAAATACACTCTAAACTCCCATTTAATTTTCCCAAATCTCACAAACAAGAAAAGAGAGAAGAAAGGGAAAAAAAAGGATCGGAGACTAGAAAAATGATGAGGAGCTTAGTCAAATCGTTCGTCGGTACATCACTTGCATTTTTTTGTTACTACAATCATTACGAGGTTCGCATGATTCAAACGACGATCGAAGATGGCTTTACGAATCTCGAGCGCGCCCACAACAATTACCTCAAATCCAAGAGAGATGCTGAGGAATAGAAAGCCTTAGATATAACCCTCGTAGGGTTTTTTTTTTCTCAACTTTTGACTACAAATTTTATTCTATGGTGTTTTTCTTTTCCTTTCTACTAATTTATAATTGAGAAATTTTATTCTAGAAAGTTTTTTACTGTTTACTTTATTGTGTTAATAACTAATAAGGCTCAAATATCAACGGATGTCGGGGGACACAGACGAATTTCCGTCTCTGTTAATTACACTAAGTTATGTATATGTGTGCTTAATGGATAGTTATTTAATCAGATCCACTATCGAAATTCACCCGATATAAATAATTTGATGTAGCATCTAACTCCTGATGAAATATGTGAGTTGAACTATTTTAGTTGTTTGGCTAAACTAAACAAATCTAAGTTTGGGTAACTAATGTATGAAATACCTACTTTATTGCCACCACTATATAAAAGATTAGAAAAATGGTAGTTGGGAAATAAAAGATTTTATTGTGTATTGCACCATTTTCATTACTTTGAGTTTGACTAATCTAAATTCATTTATTTTTTTTATAAATAATTTTGAAAATACATATTTTGTTAACATCACGAGATAAAAAAAAATTAAAAAGATGTAACCGAAATTTTAAAATGGTAACATAATAATTTTATATTTTCAGTTATTGTCTGGTGAATTATGTGTGTTATACTATTTAAATTATTTTGACAAATCTAAACCCATTTAATTTGGGATATATAATTTCAAAATATATGTTTCATTGCCAAAACAAGATAAAAGCGTCAAAATTGGTAAAATTGTTTTATAATTGTAAGATAATAGTTATTATTTGTTAAGTTATTGTTTTGTGTTGTACTATTTTCATTGTCTTGATAAACCTAAAACACATTTAAATGAGACAAGTAATTTTTAAAATATTCATATCGTTACCACCACTTGATAGAAGATTTTTAGCATGGGTAAACGACATTTTATAATGGGAAATAATAAATTTTATTGGGTAAATTCCACTTTACCCCCTTGTACTCTGCCCAAGAACCACTTTACCCCCTCGTACTTTTAATTTCGTCGATTTACCCCATTGTACTTGTACAATTTCCCAATACAACCCTCTTCATCAACTTTTTTCGATTTTGACTGACGCCATTTGGTCAAGAGTCAAAATATTGACGTAAATATTGAATTTTTTCGATTTTGACTCTCGAGATTAGAAAAGAAAAAGTTTCACACATTCATATATTTTTTTCCCCCCACTGGGTGGAATCGATCAATTTTTGGGTCTTGATTTTTACTAAGTTAGGGGTTCAATTTGGGGAATATCTTGGAAGGGGAAGTGGTGGGAGAAGAAGAAATGACAATATTGACGGAGGAGAAACGACGTGTTATACGCAGTGGCAATTTTGTAATTTACAGAGTTGACCAAATGGCGTTAGAGTCAAAATTGACAAAAATTGAAGGAAAGGGCTGTATTGGGAAATTGTACAAGTACAAGGGGGTAAATCGATAAAATTGAGAGTACGAGGGGGTAAAGTGACTCTCAGACAGAGTACGAGGGGGTAAACTGGAATTTACCCAATTTTATTTTATAAGTTATTCTAAATGAATTATGTGTGTTGTACTATTTTTTTTAATGTTTTGACAAACTTATGAACCATTTAAATTGGGATACTTAATTTTAAAAAGATTTATATCCTTCATTCGTTACTACCACTAGATACAAAATTTGAAAAATGATTAAACGATATTTCATAATGGTAATTTTTATTTTGTTAGGTTATTGTTTGATGATTTAATTTCTAACACTAACCTAAACGCAGTTAAATTGGGATAAATGATTTTTGAATTTCATTTTTCGTTACAAGACTAGGTACGAGATTTAGAAAACGACTAAAACGAATATAGTAATGGTCATATAATAATTTTAAAATTTTGAAATTATTGTTTAGTGAATTATGTAGGTTCGAACCATTTTATTGTCTTGAACTAATCTAAACACATCTAAATTTGGGTAAATAATTTTTTTAATGCGTAATTTGTTACCACTACTAAATCAAAAAATAAATAATATTAGCTAGATGAAATATTTGTAATGGTAAAACAAATCAGTGTGATTATGTAGAAATGCCCATCTTATAAACTATTTTAACCCCAAAAAAAATTCAAAATGAAATTAACCTTCTGACCAAGAAACTCTCTCTTGCGGAAGGGGCCATCTTCCCCCAACAAGAAACCTTTATATAAATCCCAAAAATCACTTTACATTTCTGCAAACCACTCTCCAAACTCCCATTTAATTCCCTCAAATCTCACAAACAAGCAAAAAAAAACAAAAAATGACCTTCGCCGCGTCATTCATTAGTACAACACTGGCATTGTTTATATACAACAATCCGGAGATTCGCGCGATTCGTAAGACGATCGAAGATGGCTTTACAAAGGCCGAGCGCCGCATGCTAGAAAATTACCTCAAATCCAAGAAACCTGAAGATTCTGGGGAAAAGAGTTCCTAGTATTTATATTCTCTCGTAGTATCTTTTTTCTCTTTTCTTTTTTCTTTTTCTTTTTTTAATTTCTATCATGTTTTACTTTTTTTTTTCTTTTTGTTATTTGTTCTTTCTACAAATTTTCCATGGAAAACAAAATTGTTGGTATTTGAAAAATTATAACTATCCCTCTTAGATTTGAAAAGCATTAAGAACAGAATATTCGAATGAGATATACTGTCATGTAAAATATAATCTCAGTTGCCAAAAAAAAAAAAAAAAATACAAGGTGAAAGAAAAGTGAAAACTGAAACAAGAATTATGAATACTCTGTTTACATTAAAAAATAACAAAAGATTTTATAAACTAAAACCGGGTACGTAATTATCAAACCACTGACTTCTATTCTTTGATCTAAAAATCAAGGGGTAAATTACAAGTACCTCCCTGAAGTAAAGAGTAATTATGAAAAAAACCCTTCTTTTTTTATAAATTACATCCAGCCCCCCGCAGTTTATAATTTCTTACATTCACCCCTACAAAAGGGTGTTAATGTAAGAAACCACAAATTACAGGGGGGTGGATGTAATTATTGAAAAATGAGGGGGGGTTTTGAAAATAGACTTTACCCCAGGGGTGATTGTAATTTACCCAAAAATCAATTTCAAAAGATAAAGTCACTCAGCTGCACACACTTCTGATCGCGAACGTGTTTATTTTTTAAAATATAGGCATTATCTTCTACATTTGCATTCAAACAGTTCAACCGATGCCTGAAGAAAACGAACGAGCATTTTGTTCGATCAAAATCAGAGTCGACATAAATAATTTATTTGGCGATAATATTTAAGCTCTTACTAACCATTCGAAGTGATCTTCGCAGCAGATAGAATTCCAAATTATTGATATTCCAGATGGTTTCCTACAAGCACAAGTTCGATTTTGATGTAATAAAAATACGGAAAATATGTAAGAAGAATGAGAGGAAACGAGGCGAAGAAGTAGGTTTGAGCATCACTTACCAAGTTGCAGTGTACATATCATAGAACTTGTCGAATGCTTTATTAAAACAATAATGACAAGTTAAGAGATCTTTTATCTGAGTAACTTTGCAAGTCGATTTGCAGCATTTTACCTGTAATAATAATGTTAATACTCGTTAAGAGAAATATGAACAAGCGCAAAACATTGGTGGTTTTTCTTTTTTTTTTTTCGGAAATAAATTGAGCAACATCAATCAAACGCTGTTATATACAAAATATATATATATATATATATATATATACGACATAAAGGAAATGCGTACTAGGCGCTTGAGTTTATATGAATAGTATTGTTGATGAGATGGATGTCCCGTTATATGCTCGCTCAAATGACCTGCACTGGAAATTTTCCATTGCATCACTCACTTTATTTTTCTCCAAATACCGAGTGGAAGGAAATTTAGAGATAGATGAAAAAAAAAACTTTAAAAAAAAATGACACCAACATTGACATAATTGATGGTGAAATTTTAACTTCTAAAGGAGAAAAAAAAAAATCGTAACAGGGGTTCTCTCTATTTTATTTTGATTAGTGTGCCGATAATTCAATTAGACAAATACGTATACCAAAAAAATGTCGAATGTCCTTCCAAAAAACATAAGTATAAACTAGCTTACCAGTCACAAAAGGTATTATTACAGCTTATACATGTCGCTAAACTGGTTGACCCGCGGCACGAGCTACACTTTGCAGCCAAGAAGTTTTTCCCTATTTCGTTGCATCTGCAGGTACATCAAGTGTCGGGATAAGAAAGTGCAGGCTTTTTCTTTAAATCATTTGATCTATAATACAATATACGAACGAACCTTTTGTATAAATCAAGAAGACCTCTGGGTATTGTATTGGATTTATTTTGAACCCCCGGTACCTGTAACGAAGAGTCTACACTTAGTACAATCTTTAACATAAAAAAATTAAAATAGCAGAATTCTTGTTAATATAATATAATAGAATACATTGTTATATGTTTTGCCAGCAGCACTCGATTCACAACGAGATGTCGATACCAAGCAGTCTTCAGCCAGATGCCCAGGCTTCTCACATTTCCAACTGCAACAGCACAATTAATTATACCCTTTCACTACGATGATGCAAAAAAAAAAAAAATTAATAAATAAATAAAGAAAAGCTAAATTAATATAAATAGTAAAGTAGACCATTCATAAGTACAAAGCCCGGATATCTTCTTGGACCAGCAATGACGGTCATAATCCCAAGTGTCCCCACCAGATTCAGGCACCGTATAAACGGGCCCCACAGGGATTTCCACACTTTGTGGCTCCTGTAATAAGATTTTCGAATTTAAAATAAAAAAAAACGAAAAAAGCTATAATGAGGTCAGTATCGAGTCAAGTAAAAAGAGGAACCTGTGGAAATTCAATTCTCTGAAGAACTTGGGCTTTGCATTCTACGCTGCATATATCGTCGTTTGTCTACAATTATGATGTAGCAAAACCGAATTTTTTTACTACTGAGAATTCAAATGGAGCAGAAAGAGAGAGAAATAAAATGAATCATCGGATATATCACCTCGTTGCATATGTACTCCCCATATTTCCCGCACACAATACATACAGGTTCTCGTGGAGCAGGATACCTCTGCTCACTTTGTGACTTGATTCGATCCGATTCTTCCTCTGTATTGGCTAAGAAAGTATACATAAAAATTATATTATTAAAAAAAATAATAATAAATAAAAAAAAACATAAAAATGACTTTATTTACAGTTTAATTTGTTTCGGATATTGGTAAGAATTTTTCATTTCACTTTAAGAGTCTATCGTGAAGTAAACCATGTCATACAGTTCGATCAAATTCTGGAACCCTTTTTATGTGATAATCGTAATCAATCCGTCGCTATAATTGAATGTTCTCACAGCAGTTCATTTTTTTCTGAATAAATAGATTCTTAAGGTTACCCCATGACTAAGAAAGCAATAATCAGGTGCAAGAAGTGAAGAACCGAACCAGAAATAGGAAAGTAGTGCATTCCACTGCTAGTATTCAATTGTTCTTCACTGTTCCTCGGATAACCTCGGTCCTCTTCAAATTCTGCACATGTACTTGTATCACCTGCACATTTTGTCATCGGTTATGGAGATTGAAAACCACATTTTTAAATTGTGAATTTCTATGAATGTACGGACACAAAAGAAAAGAGAGAGGCACAACAGAACTTACTCTCGTACCCTACCAAATTAAATCCCGAGCTTGAACATTCCTGTAACGATCGATTCCATTGATCATAAACCTAACAGCAATTAAGATTTACGGCGACCAAAAAAGCCGACAAAAAAATAGGAGAAAGTACCAGCACATCTGCATTTAACTCTTCGTAAGGTTGAGAAGAAATAGCTTCCTTTCTGTTCAACCAGAATGGAACCACAGTAAAACCTCCGTAAATTAATACTCGATAAATTAATAACCTCGCTTAAATAATAATTTTATTCGGTCCCAACACCGTAAACATATACTAAATTTTTAGTTCGATAATTTAATATTTTGCTAAATTAATTAATAGAATTAACTAGCACCGACTGTATTAATTTATAGAGGTTTAACTGTATATCAAACATGCAAAGACTCAACTTAAATAAGAACTAATTGTCTTAAATAAGAACTAATTAGCAAAGTTCCTTCCACAAATTCTCAACAAAAATAAATAAATTTTAAAAAAAATTAAAAATTAAATTCAATCTAATATTGAAATTAAATAAAACAAAAGTTAGAATTTGACCTCCGTTTTTGGATATATTCGTGGTGGGACATGGGGCCATCGTTCTCCATCGCTTCATTCCGTTGAACAGGCGGCGGCGGCGGCGGCCTCGATTCGCGGCGGCGCTTGTGTTTGACGACGGTAGGTGGTTTATCGGAAGGAGAATTTCCTGTGGCGATATTGTAAGCTGAGATTTGAAGAGAAAAAATAAATAAAAAATCATTAACGTATTCGAGCAGCAGAAATAAGGGTTTTGCATTAGGAGATGAATTTCTTATTTGGGAAATACATTGGAGGTTTTGAAGGACGGAGTTGAGATTGAATTGCTTGTTGTATGCATTTGAAGGATTCTTGTAGAAATTCGTCGGCGTCGCCATTTTCACCTCTCTCTCTCTCTCCCAATCACTGTGCTGTGTTTATTTCTTCCATCGTTTGGTTGCAAAGATTAAATTAACTTACATTTGATTAAGTTATTCCAATTTCTATTTTTTTTTTTTGATGGAGAAAAAAATGCATTTAAACAAAGGAAAAATTACAAGAGTCAAAAAGTGGTGATCCCCCATCACAAAAACAACTAAAAGGAATGAGATCAAAGGGGATAACACCAGCCCAATTAGAATTAGAAGCCCAGTTTGCAAGATAATGGGCCGCAAAATTAGAGGAACGAGAAATAAAACGGAAACGCCATTTCGGCCAAAAAGCCCAGATATTTTTAATAAGAGAGATGGGGACTTCATCCTTCCATGAGCCAGAATCAGGATTGCCATTAATTTGGAGAATAGCATTCAGTGCATCGGATTCGAAGATTGCATGTAGACATTTGGCCGAGTTGAGGAATCTGCATGCTTCAAGAATGGCCAGAGCTTCAGCTGTGGATGCATCCATGCAGAGGTGATGGCTTGAAGATGCAAAAATAATCGATCCATTCGAATTTCTTATAATGCAGCTAGAGGATGCATGGCCATCAACAAAGGTAGCATCAGTGTTGATTTTGAGGTATCCAGAAGGTGGCTTGGTCCAGGTTTACATCATTAGAAGAAGATTTGAGGTTTTTGATTTGTTGAGCGTGCCAATGCTTGAGTGATTTCTGGGAAATGAGCTTTTGGATTTCCTGCAAAGAAAGGGAAGGAGAGCCATGAGCAACTCTATTTCGGTTCATCCAAACAAGATCAAATGTGACAGCACAAAAAATGATAAATTCAGCCCTAAGTTCCAGAGAGGTGAAGAGTTTATTCCTTTTGTCAAGAATAAGAGAAATCCATTTTTTGACTGGTTCATTTTTAAAAGGGTCAATGCGAAATCTCCATTTAGAGATGAACCAAATCTGTTGGATAAAAGGGCAGTTGAGAAATAAATGATCAATGCTCTCAGAATGGGGGCTGCAAAAATAACAGTCTGTGTCATTTGTCGGAAAGAGTCGGTTGAGTCTATCTTTTGTAGGGATGAGGTCATTAGCAATACGCCAAAGAAGGAGTTTATGCCTATTGTGCATCTTGGCGGACCAGAGGCTATTCCAGTTGAAAGAGATTGAGTAAGGAGAGGGAGCAAAGCGATGAGCTTGGTCTGTGAGGTAGGCACTCTTGGTGGTGAATTTCCTTGACTTGGAGGGAGACCAGAAGAGTCGGTTGGCAGAAGCCACTGGGGAGATTTGGATTTTCAAAATCTCTCTAACTATATCAGGAGTGAAGATAGAGGAGAGGGATGAGGAATTCCAGGAGAAACTCCCTTCATGAATGAGACTATTGACAAGAAGAAAAGAGATTGTATTATTGTTATGGGTGGGTGGAAGAGGTTTAAAACCAGCAATAGTAGGGATCCAAGGGTCATCCCAAGTCACAACATTGGAATTAACACAAATAGAATAGCAGGCACCTTTTAAAATAAGATCTCTAGATTTTGAAATGTCTTTCCAAATCCAAGAGCAATTAGAAACAGAAAGGTTGGAGAAGAGAAAAAACTTCCCTCTAAGGTATTTGGAGGAGAGAAGATTGGTCCAGAGACAGTCTTTTCTTGTGGCCATGCTCCAAGAAAGTTTGGAAATGAGAGCTCTATTATAGTCAGCCATTCTTCTGAATCCTAATCCACCTTGAGCTTTTGGTTCGGAGATGGAATCCCAGCTTTTGAGCATAAGGCTGTTGCCTTTGTCATTTTCACCCCACCAAAATTTCCTCATTTGGGCATCCAGTTTATCACACATGTTCAAAGGAACGAGAGAGACAGACATGGTGTAAGTAGGAATGGCTTGGGCAACTGCTTTAATAAGGATTGTTCTTCCTGCTTGAGAAAGGTTTTTTGCCTTCCAACCACTTAGATTTGAATTGATTCTGTCAGAGATGCCTTGGAAGCATTTTGATCTATTTTTTGTTGGCAGAAAGGCAGACCTAAGTGCTTTGTTTTGTGATCACATTCTTTGAATCCAAGAATGTTAAGGATCTCAATTTTCTCCTGGGGGTGTGTGTTGCCACTGAAATGGACTTGAGATTTGGTAGCATTGGCATTCTGGCTTGACCAGTTGGAGAATTTGTCAAGGATTCCTTTAATACAAAGAGCATCATTCTTTGTGGATCTGCAAAAAATAACTAAATCATCAGCAAACATTAGGTGGGAGACAGCAGGGCTAGTTCTAGAGATTTTGACTTCTTTAAAATGGTTAAGTCGTTCTGCAGAGTCAAGAAACCTAGAGAGGATTTCAATGTAAATAACAAAGAGAAATGGTGAGAGTGGGTCTCCCTGTCTAATCCCTCTGGATGGAGTAAGATTTCCAAATGGAGATCCATTGATAAGGAAAGAGAGCTTTGAGGTAGAGATACATTCTTCAATTCAGCTTGTAAAAAGAGGACTAAAACCAAGATTAGAGAGAATAGTAATGAGTAATTTTCATTCTACTCTATCAAAAGCCTTTGCAAGATCAACTCTAATAGCCATAAATCCATTTTTCCCTTTTTTTTATGAATGTAATGCATTATTTCTTGGGAAACAATAGTATTATCATGAATACTCCTTCCCAGGACAAATGCCATCTGAAAGGGAGAAATAAATTTGTCAAGATGAGCTTTGAGTCTATTGGCCAAAATTTTGGAAATGGTTTTGTAGGTGACATTGCATAAGCTTATTGGTCTGAAATGGTTAACTCTAGAAGCATTAGGGCATTTAGGGATAAGAGCTATGAAAGTGGCATTGAGAGCTCTAAGCAGTTTGCCAAATTTAAAGAAAAATTGAACAGCAGCAATCAAAGCATGCTTTGTGGTATTCCAGATTTTTTTGTAGAAGAGGGGAGGGAGACCATCGGGGCCAGGGCTTTTGATGGAGGCAAAGGAGAAGAGGATGTTTTTTATCTCAGTGGGGAAGCATTTCAGTGAGGCTAGAATTTCATGATCATG